TTTAGTGCAGGGCTTTACTTCAATAGTTCTGACTCCTGAGGTCGGGGCTATCTGATGGTTATGGTAATCGTCTGATGAACTTCCGGACGCCACAGTGCGTTCCACTTGTGCAATTTCACTATCGTCCTGGGAGATATCAAGTTTACCTGAAATGGACAAATTTGCACAAAGATTTAGGCTGCCAGAGTTCAAAGGGTCAAACAGGTCTGGCTGCATATTTTCAACATCTGGAGACTTTTGTTCAGTTCTCTCTGTATTAGTTGGCAAACAGCTAGCTTCCTTTTGACTTGTCTGTCTGATGTAGGTCTTTAGGTCAAAATTATATCCACGTATCGTGGGATCCAGACCTTCCTTCTGACTATGTGAAGGATTGCCTTCAAAGCAGTTAAAGAGATCATCTGACGCTGGACTTTTCAAACATTTGTAGCCTACCAAAACCACAGAATCCTTAGAGTTCTGTTTTATTAATTTTTTTGTGTTTTCAGGTTTCATTGTTTTCATGAGCTTAGTAACCTTAACCTTGGATTTATTTGATTCTTCATTCTTTCCTTTTAGAGGTTTTGTTAGCTGCTTTTCACCTTCTGTATACCAACAACTGGAGGCACCAGCAGGTCTGACTTTCAGCTCTGGGCTAGAAAGTCCAGCTACAGAGCTTTCTTCAGTCTCACATTTATCCGTTCTACTGGAATCTGATCTCTGAAGACTCTGAATTCCCATCCAGGGTGCATCTAAGTCTTTTATCCAAAGAAAAAGAAATTCAGGTTTAAAACAAGGTGTGAGAACTCATATGATTAAGACTACTTTTTCTGACTATAACTTTCCAATATCTTCGAAAATACGTAAAACTGGAGAGGGAAAATGGCCCCACATCAGGGAATGGTTTTAGGTCTATTAGGTAGAATATACTGAAAATGACACACACAGCTTACATATTTTAGTTAGATTACACTTACCTTCAACAACTGAATCTAAATACCTATCTTCAAAGATTATAGGTAATGAATTGAGGTCTCCATCTAATTCACTACATTCAATAGGTAGGGGTGGAAGAGAACTGCAGAAGGAAGTGTTTTTGATAGCGGTGCACATCTGTAGATGACTCTGAGCACTGAAAAATAGTTCTTCAGTCAGACTGTAATTCAGAAAATGACACCCAGTTCCACCTTACGGTCTGCCCACTCCCGCCCCCTCACCAGCCCTGTGCCCCCTCCTCAGGATATAACCTCCTATGAAAGAGCTCCTTGGCCAGAGACAAAAACTGGTAAAATGAAAACTATGGTTCACTGACAGTAAATTTTTAACTTATAAAATTATGGTTTATTGGTAAATTAGTTAATTTCTACCATATTCTTCTATACTTTTTAATGTTATTTCAAACTGAGTTATCGATGCTTAATGTCTGGACTTCCTAATTAGCTGAGAATGGCATTTAGGAGAAAGACCAAGAGCTCAAATGCCTACTAGAGACTTGATGACAATATTGAAAAAAAAAGTGTTCCACTGCCGTACTTAACACATAGTGAGGAACACAATTAACAGCTATTTAAAACAAGGTGTATAACTTTCTAATACAAAACGGTTTTTGAGAAAAATCTTTTCTTATGGAAAATTTCAAACAAATAAAAGTAAACAGAATAGCATAATAAACCCCATCACTCAGTTTCAAGAATTAACTTTTTTCCCGCATCTTGTTTTATCTATACCTCCATTTACTACCTACGCTCAGGCTCTATTTATGGCTTTCTCTTGAGGTATAATTCACATGCACTGAAATATACAAATCTTAGCTGTGTGATTCTGACGAATGGACACATGATGCAGAACACTTCCATCTATTCAGAGAGTACCCTCAGGACTTTTCAGTCAGGCTCCCAGCCCAAGTCGACACCAAGACAGCCACTGTTCTAATTTTTTTCACCTTAGTTTTACCAGTTCCAGAACTTCATATACATAGAATCATATATTTACTCTTTTATGTCTGACTGCTTTCACTCAGCATAATGTCTTCCAAGTATCTTTTTAAGCCAAAAAAAAAAAAGAAAAGAAAAAACCAGATCTAAATATACTCAGTAGGAAAAATGGAAGGCATCTACTTCGGACATTTGGATTGCGAATCTTCTGTGTAACAGGAGGTAGTCCTAGTTAGACTACTTGCAAAACTCTGTAATACATAACGATAAATGGAAGAGATTCCGACCCGTGAAAATAAAGATACAAGATGGCCAACTGGAAGGCTGGAGCCAGGGTTCATAAGACCAAACCCAAACTGATTCAACAGGAGATTTCTGAGCTGCAAATTCTCCTAATTTCTTTTACTGTAAATACTGTACATTCTGTCACTGATAAATACTGAGATGACACCTCATGTAAAGGGAAATAAAATCATCTAAATTTTGGATGGATGCTACTCACTGAAGTTCCTGGTATGCAATGGCAGCTTCTCTTGGGTGTTCAAAACAAAAGAACGCCTCAGAAAATCTGCGTACCTGAAAAATCCCAAAAGGGAGTGTGAATGTCGTGGCACATTTAGAAAGTCAATCAGGAGCTGGATGGTAGGAAAAGAATCCCCTCCATTAGGCCTTCCATAACCACCCCCTTGAGAAGTTATCTCCCTCCTCAGGGTTGCTGAAGCGCTGAATTGTGGGACCACATGAGTTAGGAGAACTAACAGAACGTAGAGGAAGAAATTAAGTTTTCCATGGCAGATCCACGGTTTATCCTCCAAAGATAAGGATTCTGTTTGTCTGGCAGTGCCTAGCACGTGGGAGAACTGCAGGATGAGCTGGCCCAACTGTGTGGCGGCCCGGCACTCCAGGACCCAGCAGCTGAATTGACGGGCCGGTATCCTGAATTTAGGCATTTCACCTCTGAGCCTCAATGACTCATTTTCAAATTACACTTAATACTTACTCTACATTTGAGGCTATTGTGAAGAATAAACAAGGTAATAAATTCGATACCAGTTTTATATCTGGAAAATGTATATAAATATAAGTTACTGTAATTACCATTGTAGCATTCACCACATTTTTTCTTGAAATAACTGTATATGTGAATTGTCTCCTCTTCTAACGTGTAATGTTCTTTAGAGTAGAAACTATATTTTGAATGATCTCTGCTACCTCTCACAACATATATCTTGGTTTGTTACAGAAGCAAGTAGCTGGTAAATACTGGTCAAATCTAGTTGATTATTTCTTCCATCACATTTGTATTTTGCCCCTTTCATTTCTAATTATGCACTGTCAGCTATTAAAGCAACATGAAGCCACTTATAAGGTGGTGGCAAAGATATTTTGTTTGGAGGGTACAAGGAGGAGAAGGAAATTATACTCCTTCTAAGATTTTTTTAAAAGGGAAATGTGATTTAGGGTTCTTTGGTTTTAAATGCACAATGAACTGGAGAACTGTTCAATCTGTCATCAAGCTATAGCCAGCTGAATTTCTGATTTCCTAAGCTTGTCTCCCTGGGCTGAGGAGACTGGGTCTGCAGAGGAACGAGTGGCGAGGGAGGAGGGGAGAGGAAGGTGTGAGGAATTGGTGAGAAGGATGCCGCTCGGGTCTTTACTTCTAAATGCTGCCCGATTGCCTCTTCTTCCTCCCTCTAAGGGAGAGATGAGGAAAATTTCTGTGTGTGAGATGTTTTCCCTGAGGGCTGTAATGTGGTGAGAAAGGCAGCCTGACGTCATGTGGAGCCCTGCAGCTGCAGCAGGGCCGGCCAGACCCGCTCGCTGCTAAGCCTTCTCTCCCGGTCCTCCTTGCTCCTGCTATACGAACTATTATCTCTCGACAGCATCCTGCCTACCAGGCTCTGTGCTAAGCACTTTACTTTCATTCTGATTTAAACCTATAAAAACCCTCAGAAGTGGCTATATCTTCATTTAATAAGTGAGGAAACAGGCACAAAGAGGTTACTTACTTGGCCAAGATAACATAGTTAGCACGTGATAAACATGGGACAAATAAAGACTTAAGAAATGTCAAATCTCGTGTTCTAACCACTTCTCTCTTCCCTTCCGCAAGAAGACGCCCTGCTACCAGAGTCCTTCCTCTTTACACCCAGACCAAGTTCCCTTTCTAAATTTTCTCTTGCCACGATTCTGGTGCCACTGCGATGTGTAGTGAATAAGGCTATTAACTGTCTTACGTGGCTGTATCTAAGGTATCACTGCCACCTGATGGTAGCATGGCTAAATTCTGGGCAAAAGATGTACACAAACATAAGTTAAATTTACAAATTCAGACTAAGGATCAGAGTAATCTGTATTAATACTTTGGTATATATATCCAGAAAATGAGTTTTGAGTATGTACCCTCATTTTAAAGAGTCAACTTATTTGACAATACCAACTATTCAAAATTCAGCTAGGTTAAAAAAAAAACCCTCTGAGCATTCAAAATGGGTGTTTACTAATGCTCTGCAGAGTTAACTGTTCCATCATCTGTGTTCATCTTAATATGTTGTTTAAATTGCTGAACAATATTTGTTGCAATAATTTAATAAGCAGCATTTATTATTAATGCAATATTATATTTATTATAACTTAGTAATTAATCATATATTATAATGTAGTATTTACTATAATAATTTTATACATGTTGATCCAGGTTAGATTCTAATCTTTAGAGCGGGGTCTAAATACGTGATATATTTTCTATATTGCTTTGAAGAAGGCAGGTACCTCACAAATGTTTCCTGAACGAATGTTCTTTAAGTTCTCACATTATTCTCATAGTAGGATATCCTGACACCCTCTTTTATATGTAGCTGATTTATGCTTACTCTTAGAGACAATTCTAACTGGTTTAAGTTACTTGGTTTCTCAATCCACAGCACATTAAAGCAGGGAAAGGAGAATTATAGAGTATCCACAGTATACAAGGTTTAGAAATGAGAACTTGCTGCTGAAAGAAAAAGGCCCCTCCCTTAAAAAAACCCCTAGAGCATTCCCATAAAAAGCAGACAAAAGAAATTAAAAATTAATATAACTTGGGCGGGGGAGGGTATAGCTCAGTGGTAGAGCACATGCTTAATTAGCATGCACAAGGTCCTGGGTTCAATCCCCAGTACCTTCACTAAAAATAAATGCAGAAATAAACATGAGGGCTAAATTAGGTTCTGTACACTCTACTTCAGATGGTAGGGAACCGTGAAGCACACTGGAAAGTTTCTATTTAAGAAGATTGAAAACAATTTTAGGAAAAAATTTACCCTTTAAAAAGCACATATTGGATAGTAACAAAATTCACGTTCGGGTGAACTTACTTCCCGAGAATGCTGAGTATGTTTTATGTATATATAAACATAAAAGATGTAATCTATTTTGTGTTAATAATTACATTAATAATGGCAGTCTACCTAAACTGTGCAAGAGAGGAAATATATAGCAAATTAAATCAACAATATGTTCTTAGAAAGTATTTCTATTTTATTCAGAAAAATATAGCTTAATACATTAAAGTTCATTAATATGGTTGTACTGAAAGATCAAGCAGTTGTAGTGATGAGTGCTTAAAAATGCAAACTTCATGATGTTTTCTGAAATAAATAACACATCACTGTAAAGAAATCTTTAAGTGAAAGGATGGCTATACAAGCTAGCTCTAACTGTTTCCCTTTTCTAGAGCCTAAAAAGCATTGACACAGGTGAAGATTTTATGATCTAAAAATCTCAGTAAAAGCTAATAAGAACTCCTGACCCTCTGCCCTTACTCCTGGAAGGTAGTGGATACACATTAGAATCAAGGGTCCTGTGGATCCACAGGGAAGCTTTAAAGTGCAAATTTCAAAAAGGAGCTCCTTCCAAAGGCAGATGCACCTTGACCCCAGGGAGAACAGGCCAGATTTCAGTTCCCACTCTCCCTTGCAGGACGCTCTTATTCAGAGAAATACCTAACCCTTTATCACTTGGAGAACTTTGGGAAGATTACCCCATGCTTGGGCCTCATTCAGTACCGGTAATTTTTAAAGTTTTCCAGGGGATTGTAATGTATAGCTAAGGCTGAAAGCCACGATTTAACTTCTGCTTAGACCATGACAGAGAAATTGGTATTGGATTTACCCTACTGACAACAACTCCAAAACTGGACAAAACACATGGAGCAACTGTTTCAAGCACTGAAGAACATCCACCCTGCGTGCAAAGAAGCAGGGAAGTGTAGCTTACAATCAAGAGATAAACGTAGTTAGCTTTAGAAATAGACTCGAAGATAACGCAGGTGTTAAAATTAGCAGGTAAGTACTTTTCTTTAGAAAAGAATTAATAGACTTAGGTTTTTTGAGAAGTTTTAGGTTTAGAGAAAAATTGTTCAGAAAGTACAGGGAGTTCCCATACAACCCGAGACCCCAAGTTCCTCCTGTTACTATTTGCATCTTGTATTCTGCGATGCCTTTGCTGTAACTGATGAACCAGCGCTGACCCCTTACTAACTAAAGTCCACCGTTTACATTGAGGTTCACCCTTGGTGTCGTACACTGTGTGGCTCTGACAAACGTATAATGACATGTACCCACTGTTAAAACACCACAGAGAACAGTTTCACTTCCCTAGAAACCGCCTATGTTCCACCTATTTGACTCCCCCAATTCCCCTGAGCCCCTAGGAACCACTGATCATTTTGTCTCTATAGTTTCTCTTTGTTCAGAATGTCATAGACTTGTAATCATATAGTAGGTAACTCATAAGATTGCCTTCTTTCACTTAGCAATAATATACTTTCAAGGTTTTGCCATGTCTTTTCATTTCTTTTTATCACTGAATATTCCATTGTATATTTTTACTTAGCAAACATTAGATAGCAGTTATTGTCTGCCAGGCACCGTCTAACTGTTTTACAGCTGTTAGCTAATTTAATCACTAAAACAGTCTGATGAAGAAAGTACTTGATGATTCTTATTTCACAAAAGAAATATTAAAGTTAGAAAAGTGAAATAACTTGGCCAAAGTCACATAGCTTGTCCATAGTAGAGTGGACATAAACCCACCCGGGAGATGAAGAGCTGATCTCCTTGGCAGACAATAACTGGTATCTACATGTTTGCTAAGTAGAAATATATAAATACACTGTCATGGTCCTTCCAAGAATATTAAACTTTAGTTCTCCAAGAGCATAAGAATGTATTCTAGTCAACTACGAAGGGAAAACAGCTTTCCCTCTTTCTAATTTTTACCTGAATCCTTTGGTTGATACTGAGAAAATCACTGTAACTTCAATAAAGGGTTAGTAACAAACCTGTCACTAGGAACTTGAATGAAAAGAAATAGGCAGCTACAAGGTGAGAGAGAAGTTAGTCAAAGAAAAAAGAGCACAGCTAATGAGAGCAAAAATGGGCACAACTCTAAATAAAACAAATGAAGGCAAAAAGAAGGCACAGAAACTTGCATAATGAGGATGTTCAATGAAGTGTTTTTAGAAAACATTTTTAACAACTACTTTTTTCAGAGCAATTTTAGGTTCATACCAAAGTTGAGAGGAAGGTACAGAGATCGGTGAAAAAATGTAAAACTTCTCTAATTCTACTCATTGTAGAGTTTAAAATATTATTTTATGAAGCCTTACAAAGTAAAAGACTTTCATTTTACAGTCCAAGGAAAGGTTCATTAATGTGAAGAGTTTAAATGAGCAAGATCCTAGGATACTAAATAACTGAACAGCAGAAATACCGTGTCAGCTCGGATTTCTTTGCTTTAGATTGGAACCAAAAGTATTAACACATATTGAGTAAAGCCATAGGTTTACCACATACTGTTTCCAATAAGATTAATAAGCTCAATATTAGTTTTCTTCTTGCCCAAGGAATTCTGTTTTCTGAACCCCCATAAGACATCCTTCCTCCATCCAAAAATACATAAAACAGTTAAATCCTCCTTTGATGCTTCAAACTCCTATTTGCTAGGATTGCATCAGATATCCTTACATTGAAAAGTTACTCACTATTTACCTAAAATTCAAATTTAACTAGGTAGCCTGTATTCTTATTTACTAAATCTGGCAACTCTACCAAAAGGACATTGAAATACAAATAGGTTTTTTTTTCAGTGTAAGTATTTCCCAAAAACTGCATAGGATATACTTACACTAAAATTTGTTTACCTGAAATTCAGATTTAATTGGGCATTCTGTATCTTATCTGGCAACATGAGGTACTGGCAGGACAGAACTAAAGATTTATTCAAGTCATCTCTGAAAGAATGCCAAATCAACTGCTGTTTTGTCCGACTCCACCAGCCCTAACAAAAGCTTGCTCGGGGCAGAATACAGGTCTGCAATGTCAGCACAAAGCACAAAGCCTGGCTTCCCAAGTCTGTAAACCAAACACACTGATCTTAACACTGGGCTTATGATATAATTCCGGGCACCAGCTATAAGAAACATTAAATACAGCATCTCCGATGTTACAGTGGGAAGCACTAGTAACTAAGATCACTAAAATTGTTGAGGGAATAAACTGCTGTGAAAAGGAGTTCTCCATAAGACGCTGTTGAAAGACAATTCTCCAAGGGTCTCTTAAATTTATGCAAGTCTTGTGAGCAGAAAAGGGGACTGTCTTTGTTCCAGACTATTTTGAGAACAGCCTGGGAAGACAGAGATAGGGCTCCCTTTGGTGCAAAGGGTAGGTCTGCTTACAGCCTTGGTAGATAAAGATTCCCTCTGGAGCAAACAGCAGGCATGCTTACCATCCATTATAAAATATTTGGGAAGGAACCCGAATTCAAAAAGACATCAGCACCCCAATGTTCACAGCAGCACTATTTACAATAGCCAAGTCATGGAAACAGCCTAAATGTCCATCAACAGATGACTGGATAAAGAAGATGTGATACATTTATATGATGGAATATTATTCAGCCTTAAAAATGACAACATAATGCCATTTGCAGCAACATGGGATGTCCCTGGAGAATGTCATTCTAAGTACAGTAAGCCAGAAAGAGGAAGAAAAATACCATATGATATGACTCATGTGGAATCTAAAAAGAAAAAGACAAATGAACTTAAATATAAAATGGAAACAGACTCAGACATAGAACACAAACTTGTGGTTGCTAGTGGGGAGGGAGGTGGGAAGGGACAGACCAAGAGTTCGAAATTGGTAGATACTGACAGGCATATATAGAGTAGATAAACAAGTTAATACTCTATAGCACAGGGAAATATATATAAGATCTTGTGGTAGCTCATGGTGAAAAAGAATGTGAAAATGAATATATGTATATTCATGTATGACTGAACAATTGTGCTCTACACTGGAAATTGACACAATATTGTAAACTGACTATAACTCGATAAAATAAAAAAAATTACAAAATTAAAAAAGAATTTTATAAGCCTATGATTAAAAAAAAACAAAACAAGAACAAAAACAAACAAAAAACTAGCCTCAAGTTATAAACAACATGCTTTCTGGAGATTTCAAATACATACTAATTATAAATGACCTAAGGTAACTGCCTCTGGCAAATAATTTGCATACAATTTGTTACTCTGTTTAACCTGCAGTGTGAAAATGTAAATAAGAAGAAAAGTGGAAGTCCACGTTGTCTTTGTTATTTAAAAACCTACAGACACATTTTATTTCCCAGAGATGACAGACAGAGCCTCAGTAAACAAATTTATACTGTTAAGTAAATTGCATTAAAAAGAAATCAGTAGGAAAAAAAACTGGGATTTCTAAGCACAGAGGTTTCCTCCTGTAATGCAATCTACTGGTGTGAACCTGGTCTTCTTTATGTTAGGCTGTGAGAATTGGGGCTCAAGGAACCAATGACAATGATAATACTCTGGTTATTACCATGGCTGTGACTAGTAAAGTCCTCTGTCTTTGATTCAGAATCACAGTCCTTTGTCTCGAATCTCACATGGTGTGCCAGCATCCATGAATCAATCTACGGTAAGCTAACTTATTAGCTTGTAAGTAGGGTAAAATCTCAGATTCTTTCACAGTTCTTCATACATATAAAATCCATTATAATTTCAATTTAGTTTTGCTTTTTATGTTATCTCAGTTGATAATTCCATTTCCCAGTTTGAAACGACAAAGGCATCTCTCACTTGATATTAAGTACCCTTTACCT